ATACAGAACTCATCTTGAACCCCTCTTGAACTCACCTTGTAAAAATTGTAATAAAAGACCCCCTATTTTTCAGCTTTCTGCTTGTAAGTCTTGTAAAATTCATAATAAATATTTCCTATTGAAAGTAAAGAATCTTTTTCACTGAGCACACATAAATGTGCGCATGGAGAAGCGGGAGAGAGTCATTCTGCGCATGTAATAAGGTGACAAAATGTATCGGCTTTGTTTCGTTCACCAGTTGCTACAAAAAACACAATATATGTGATAAGAAATGTGTGAAGTCAAATGAAGGAAAAAAGCGAGCTATGATCACTATTTTCGCATTCTCTTATAACTGTTTGTCTCTCATTGGCTCACAATACTCTGTAATAACTGAGACAAAATTCAAATTTGTTGCGAAGCATGAACTTGAAAAACAGCTTCTTTTTAGGGACACAAAATAAAAGAATTCTGTAAAATCTTTGTTCTTAAGGGCAGAATAGAAGATCCGAGTCGTTTATTGTGTCATCCTCTTTATCAGAAATCTATTCTATATTTTTGGTTACTTTTTGGTGCAGACATCAGTACATTAAAAACGCCTTATTCATGACGCACTATCCAATAGAAGTGACAAGCGCTGCAGGTATTTGTAATAATTTCTTGTTTGCTTGATAATATGACTGTAATTGAGCTACTTTAGATGTCAAGTTTTCTTACGACGTAGAAAATTTTGCTGCTTATTCGTTAATGACGTATAAAGATGGATGCACTGAGCAGTTGCTTGATTCAATTCAACGTTTGATACAACTCAATCACTTCTCTATCCGACATAAAATTCAATTATTAATCAATTTAGAGCACGTCTGTAAACGATATTTTCTCCTTAATCGTCCGCTAAATAATGCTTCGAGCGTAACAAAGAACCTAGCGCACATCTTGTCCGTGTTGAATATTGATGGAAAGGACTGGTCAGATTATGAAAATTGGAAAGAAGAATTATTTTCAAATTGTCTAAAATATCTAAATGAGCTAAATTTTGCACATTTATTGCTCTATGGAAAAATCCCTCGACACACAAAAAGATTTAACGAATGGTGTTTTGGAAGATTCGATTTCCAAGGTATTCATGCTGACATATACGAATTTCAGGATGTTAAACACGATACTCATGTCAAGAATGTAATTGAAATGATAATAGATGGCAAGTTTCACATGAGTGGAAAACAGAATAAAGTTTATCAAGGCATTCCATTCTCGTGGTGAACAGTAGTACCAACTTCAAAAGATCAACGATCCCCCCCATTTCGCACTAATCAGTCTTGGTATGGTTCCATTCGTTTTACCATTGCATTTAACGAACTACTACAAAAGTACCCTAGTGGTAAATATATTAATTATTTTGCATTGGGCACTCGTGTATATAAAAACGAAAGATGCCACAGTCTTTTGATTACAACAAAGACGGATGCAATCGGTTTCGGAGAAACATATGAAAAACAGTCTTGCGATGAAAACCATCCTCTTGTGCGCATTTATAAAGACAAGAAAAATGCTTAGTGGTTAAGCTATCATACTGAGGCAAATCATTATGATATACTTGATTTTGCCTTCCAATTACGTGAGAATGAATCTCTCGTATTTAATTCAATGTCTGGACTTAAAATATCATTCGTTAATCATACTGAATATTGTATACCATCGGGACCTCGTGTTTTGACACCATCCATTTCGTCATGCTCTTCTACTGCCGAGAGTGCAATGAAATCATTCTGTCATTTACTTGCAGCAAAAAATATTCCACTTTCTAACTTGGAACAATTCTTTGACTCTGATACATACAAAAAATTGTTATCGTATTTTGTCCGAATAGTAATATGATCTGTTTAAAAAACACCTGAAATGAATCCAATAGATGAAGAGACTCATGACGATATTTCCAACAAAGCCAACTGAAGAATTTAGTTTTCTACTGTAAATCTGTCCCATCAAGGCTTGTTTCTTTTACATCTGACTTTAAAAAAAGTTAAAACTCGCTTGATGAAGATATTGTTTTTTTAAGACAACGGCACGTCCAAGCGTTACGGAATTTCATTTTTCTGTGTTCTAAGAACCGTAACTTAAAAACAGTTAAGGCCAGACCCTTGAAATTTTACCAATAATAAAGAATTGTGTATTCTAGTACCAAAAATATTCTCAATCGATTTCGTTGAGCCGAACCGCAGTTATAAGCAAAATAGATGTCGTTAGGAAAGAACAAAACAATGAAATATTTTTTAGTAGTGTGTATAATTTCGATTATTTCTACCAATCGATGCAACATGGAAAGAAATGTTTTAGACGAAAGTTGTGCAGTTCTCCATTAGCTTTCTGACTATCATAGCGACTATAATCAGCGGAAAATTCTACATCGAACGATGTATCTTTCACAGAATCTGTGTTCCACCGGAGCCTGCGGTGAAACATTTTCGACTTTTCATGTGGAGAAAATTTTCGAGAAAATGAAAATCGTCAATGCGAAAACTAAGTGAGCCATCATGTGCAGAATTTGTTTTTGGAGAATAATTATTTTATTTCAGACAGTTTATACTACCGATAAATTGGTGGTGTAGCAATGGGTTCGCTGAGAGATGGAACCGGTCAACAAAATCATAACTGGTAACGGCCAGTCACCGGTCGTCGGCGAACATGTGCAGACCGGACGGGATACCGGCCATTTTGCAAAACATTTTGACCAGGAAGCGACATTTTCCAAGAACTCTTTCGGGATAATAATTGTTATAAGAACAGTGGGTCTTTTCACTGTATACTATTAGAGTTCATAGCAAAAGAGTTTCGTGATGTTTTAGACGTTTTGTTCGCTGCTGAAGAAATTATATATTTTTTTTTCTCAATACCATGCAGAGAATGCACTCTTGTGATTGTGCTATTGAAAAGCGACTTGTTACTAAGCAAAATGCTTCTTTTCTCTTTCGCATTGTCTACATAGAATAATAAAAAATTGTTATTGTATCTTATCCAAATTGTCTGGTCCTAAACTGACACATTTATGGGATGTTTGGATACCACGTGGACAGGTTTTTCGATATTTTCGGGCCCTTTCCTCCCTCTCGAGAACATTCAGCTACTCCGACCACTCACTCACCCTGTCCACATGGCCAGAAATTTTTTGGAACTTAAACTTATAAAAATAGCCAATTTTTTTTCATTCATAGGAATGTTTTATTATGATATTATTCTCTCTTTATAGAATTTATCGTGGTTTCGTGCTTTTGCTGAGAAACAACATAATAGACTGAATAAGTTTAATTTGGAATATTGAAGCACTGCTAATGAAAATTTGCTTTTTCATCAGCAAACTGAGCTTGCAAGTAGAATCAATACGTAAAAAACATTGTCGCAACTTTAGAAAGGTTTTAAGTTTCCCTTCACAGCCCTTTGTGCCTTTCCATCTTCTCCTAGGAGCCTAATCATCATATGAATGACTTGTGTCTATTCAGAGATTAGATGACCTATGAAGCATCTAGTTACAGTTATAGATAATTCGAAACTACAATGAGACTAATAACTCATCGAAGTTCACACTTTAACAAGTTAATGAGAAAAATGACGAAATTTCATTCGTTTTTCAACTGTAAAGACATTTTTGTTGCAGTTGTAGGTTTAGGACAATATAAAACAACCAATATAATACATGCGATTAGGTATTCATCGACCTTTGCATTGTTCTCGAAAGAAGCGGTATATATAAAGATGGCTCTTCTTTGAACGGATACGAAATAGAATTCATTCAGACGCAATTCAAAAGAGTTGCAAAAAATATTCTATGCAGACTCCGAACCCATCTATTTTTTCTCAGATTCGAGAGGTTCTGTTTCAGGATTTTTTCTATACCAGAGATCAAAATATTGCTCAAATTGATTATGAGACCTCGATGCTATTCCATTTTACGTTCTGTGAAGGAATAGACAACTTTGCGTCTCATTTTCATCGTTTATGGAAACAGCATTTTGCATCCCTAGGACCTATTTCATCTATTGTAGGTGTTGGCAATGCTCTCAATTTACAAAGACTAGTTAAGAAGAAGCCGACATCTGACCTCATTCGATAGACATTATATTGAAATGTCTGATGCTGTTGACAACATTCTACCAGTGAAAATCCCGAGCCTACAAACGTGCTAGCAGAATTTGACAAATCGACCCTCAATCGAACATCACCATCATCCGTCGTCGCGTTCAAGGTGCCCGAAGAAGAGTACTCTGCGACGCCAGAGACGCAAGCGTTTAGAGGTGACATACGCAAGTGGACGTGGCAGTCATAAAAAACCGCCCATACTGCAGTCGTCAGTTCGTTTAGCGGCCCCTCAACATGCTGCCAATGTCGACGAGCCAGTCGTTATCGACCCTCCCCCGTATTTGTTGCCACATGGCGAAATATCGGAAGGTTCCAATGGTGAGTCTCCCAATGCGAGGAAGTGTCGAGTCTTTTTGGGCCGATTTTACGGAAGAGTAGATGCTTCTAGGTCGATCGCTGCCAACGAAGTCGGTACGACGAATTAGCCGCACAACTGGAACTCGACCTCGTCGAAGACTGACGTGCTTTTTGCGTTTTGTCGTGTTTTCTTGTTATTGTGTGTTTTTCTTTCTATCATTTTTTTTATTGTTTTTATTTTATTTTTTATATTTTTTACGTGTTTGTTTGAGTTTTCTAGATACCCTGAAGAGCTTTTATTTGAATAAAAGTGAAACCGGTTGGTAATCAATCTTTGGAATCCAACAAACTAGCCGTTAGTGCTTTCATAGCAAGCCTCTTTCTACAAGAATAGGTATAAGTGTATTGTATATAACTTGATGATTTTGATTTGCGGTCAAGTAATTCTGTCATACAAATGTCACTTTGCTGTTGTGTTCGATGTTCATATAGCTGGCTTTGATTCTCGATTGATTTCAGCGGTACTAATATAAAGGGCAAAATATACACAGTTAAACTACTAATGAAATGTGCATGCAGAATAGTTACTTCTATCCTGGGATGATACAACATGTAATTTTAGCTGATTCATCATTAACAGGTGCAGGTCGCACCACCGATGGTATAATCTGACTGGACAATGATGTTTGATTTTTATCCAACTTCTGTAAGGCCAGATTTAATTCCGGTGTTTCTGGTGTATTTTAAAGTAAGAGATAAATGATTAGTCAGGTCTTGTTAACACACTCTATTCCACCTCTGTATAGACATATTGCATACATGAAATGTTTTGCTTACCATTTGATACTTGTGCAGGTGAACTACCTTCAGACTGCTGACCATTTTGCTGACTTGTTTTACCAATGAATACCTCTGATAATACTGCTGTAATGGAAATGTAGTTTGCTTATTTCAAACTGGGATCTCTAATCATATATGTTTACCTGCCGAGTATATCAAACCAACTGACTGTTTGTTTATTGGTATAGACATATGTTGCCGCGATGGCAAAACATCCATTATTTCTTTATTTATTTGAGATGACTGTTCAATATCAATAGGTGTAGTTGGTGGTGACGGCGATGCCATAGTTTGCACATGAGAATTTATAATAATTGTGCCATTACTAGGCTTTTTGGGAGTTGAGCAAGCTAGTGGAAGTAATACTTGTGACGACGGTGCTGCAACAGTGCATGTTTGAATGGTAGACGAATCTATAAATACAGAAACGCTAATGACTTTAGATAAAAGTAAGAGGAATTGTTTCATTGCTCACTACTTCGAATTTGGCTATTAAGGTTAAGGTTATGCTCATTCGAAATTCGTTCGAAATTCGGAACTTCAGGTGGTTTATTGTTGTTATAAGGTTGTTTGGTCTTATTAGTTACAATATCGCTTGGGTTACATATTCCCAACGGTTTATAAGCACATGTAGCATTTTCAACATTCAGCTGTTTGGTAAGTGATGCTATGTCATTCTCGTCCACGACCAATATCGGATGAATTCGTCGAATGGGTTGTGATGCGTTACCTCTCGTACCTACAAATAGTCATGGACACGAACGTAGTGTGAATAGAAATAACTAGGTTATATTTGATGATACCGCGATTTTCGATCGAATTGACAAGTTCATCATCGTCAACAATTCCATATTTTCGGTTTATTTGTTCTGTCAACTGCTCAGGTTTCCTTTGGTCACCAAATATTTTAGATGCAATATGTTTATTGCCGATCCTTTGTTGTAAATGTAATATTGACGTTGGTGACAATATCGGTAGAAGTGTCTGGCCACGCGGGACTGTAACAGGTGAAAAAACCGACATTTAGACTCATACCTTTATTTTATACTAGAAATAACCCGTGGAAAACCACGGACGCTCAGCGTTTCATTCATTTTTTCATTCATTTTTCGATAACTGATTTATTAACTAATAATAATTAATAACTCATAACTCATTTCTAATATCGGATTCCCCACCCTTGTTTACCCTCCGGTCAATCAAGTTTTACAGTCGTTTGTGTTTTGGGTTTTACCCAATACATTGGCGCTGTTTAGTGTCTTGGGAGCGTTCCTGACAAAAGGACAGACATGTCTGGGCTATTCTTATGTATATAATAAAATACATGTCTTTTGGATTTCTTTTAGATCATCATCAAAATGATGATGGGATACTAGTGAGTTTTGATTCAAATAATTTATTTCATACTATTGTGCCATCCAATTTATCACCATCATCAAGTTTACTCAAGACTTTTGATAAGCCATTTGAATCGCACCAGTTATCGCTACAACAACAACAAAATACAATCACAACAACATCCTTCGATAGAAAGCTGTGAAAATTGTATGTAAGACCAGCAGGATTGAGCAGCTATATGCCTTCTGAATGTTGGAATTTACAGAGTTTACGTAGTCGGAAATTCTATAGATTCCAAAATTCAAAATTTTAAAAGTTCGAAAGTTGGGAGCTTCTATAAATTCCAACATTCAGAAGTTTCTAAGTTCCAAAGTTATAGAACTTATATTTATGTTGGAATTTTGTATGTTATGTTGGAATTTATAGAAGCTCCCAGCTTTCGAACTTTTAAAATTTTGAATTTTGGAATCTATAGAATTTCCGACTACGTAAACTCTGTAAATTCCAACATTCAGAAGTTTATAAATTCCCTTCTTCTATGGTTCATAAATTCCAAAGTGTGTAAATTCTATAAATTCCAGAATTCAGGAGTTCATAAAGCACAGACGAAGAAGATAACGCTACATATTCTTTAACTTGATTTCTTCTTTTCTTAAAACTGTTGTGCTATGTGACCTGCAATAAACTTCAAAAATAACTTACGAAATAAATTTTGTAATTAAAAATAATAATGAAATATCTCTCTCTCCACAAAAAAGTTCGCTGCAGACGCACAGTATTTCGACAATTGTGCTATATGGACGCATTTTTGAAAAGCTCATTGATAGCTTATTTTGAAGCCTAGAAAATTCTCTATCTTTCTGTATATAAAACGCTCCGGGTCTGAGGAGATGAGTTCAAGAAATATTCCTTTTCGCTAAGATAGGTGAACTTGATGATATTTGTCTAGTATTTCGACAATTGTCGTGTATGGGCATATTTTTGAAAACCTCGTTTATAGCTTATTTTGAAGCCCAGAAAATTCTCTATTTTACTATGTATGCGCTTTGCTCAAGGACTTTGAAATCGGACGAGAAATTTGCGGAAAACGGTA